TCATTAGACTATGTAAATTTACTAAATTTGCAGGACGTTGCTCACCTGTGGAATTGCCACAGAATTCGCCCCAGTAGGAATGCAGTTTCCCCAAGTGGACTGCACCCACCTAACTTCTTCCGAGGAGGCAGTTGAACTATACCTTTTCTTACGGGCCTACATCCACACTCAGCTTTAATAGTAAGTATAGTGCTAAAGACCTAGTATAGTGGTTCCAAAAGTTTGACCCATAATAAAAAAGCAAAGTCTATCCAGGACCCCACCCCATATCCTTTTGTCCATAAAAGGTCAGAAATAGTATCTGTTAAAGCTCCCCAGTCCATGTCAATTTTTGTCTAACAGTCCAAAACTAAAAGATATACAGTGAATCATCTATTTCCACAAATAAAAGCAATAAATCATCACATTGAGAAGCTAAAACAAGCTTATTTTCTTTCTCTACATCTTTGCTTGATAAAGACTAAAACACTTCATTCAGTTATGAAAGTAGTGGCTTATTGATCTTCTGTCGATTGACTTAATCAAATAATTGACTGACCCAGCTGCTCTGGAGAGAGGACTTATTTTATTTTATCTGAATAAGTTTTAGAGGCTTGAGGAGGTCAAATACCAAAATCCGAAATAAATAAATCAGAAATTATAAAAAAGTTTTTTAAAAAATCACAATATTATGTTCACAATATTTTTTTCTGTGTCATAGCCTGTCCTGTCATCTTGTGACCCTTTTGATTAATCCAGATTGGGGTTCCAGACTACTGACCCCCAGACCAAGAATCACTGGCATAGTAGGCCTAGAACCACAGTATACTAACACCAGCAACAAAAAGCAAAAAATGTATGTCAACAATTAACATGTATTAATGATAATAAAGTGTGTTACAACTACTTTGATTCTTACACTATTCATAAAATGTCTTAAATGACCCCGCTGCCTCAATTTATTAGATTAGATTAGCTTTATTAATCCCCACAGGGAAACTGATTTACCACCAAGTCACAAAACAAACAGTCAACAAACATTACAAACACAACAAGTTTATGATTGAGTTGTTGGTTTTATTGTGTGTTCTTTTGTGAATAATCAACTTACTATAATCTTTGTCATAATTCTAGTCCTGGTTAAAACCAACAATACAGTCAGATTTTTATGGTTCTCATCTAAAGAGTAACAATGCCATGTCCTTTTCTGTGTTTCAGGCTGTTCCCAGACATACAGAGACCTGAACAGATAACCGACTTTCAGATCTGCCAGACTAGAAGACACAGTAGCCAGTGAATTTCAACTTTAAAATTGTCTGTCAGTTGTTATTTTTGTCTGTTAATGTCTGTCTAATTAATGTTTTGTAATCAACATGGCAGTGGCAATTGCAAATGTATCTGTATTACATCTGAATGTCATTTTATTATTAAGATTATTGAAAGTCGTGAGGTATGTGTTTAAAGCCTTGATTATGCCGATAATGTATAATGTATATAAACTGTGGGCTTTGTCAAAAAACTAAATAATTTTGGCCCTATTATTACTTTGATTCAACCCTTACCTGATTTATAAAGGGACCAACTGGTAGCAACAGTGCCCAAATCTTTTGGATATCATTTTAAAATTCAAACACTCTGGAATTCATCTTCAGGATTAAAGGTCACTTAAAAATGCTGAACAATTACATTAGACAGCAAATGATGAGTGAACACTAATATCACCAATGTGACATTTTGTTGAATGCAATTAAGTTTCTAAAAAATAAAAACTTTTTTGTAGTTTGTTGTATTAACTGAATACATATTGATAACTGGCACCTAACACAAAAGAAAATTCACCCAAGATGAAGTAAAGAACACATTTGATTAATGGCACTTAAGTCAATCGCCATTAAAGAAGTATAAAGTCAGGACATTGTAACTCATTTTACAACAACCACTAACAGGGCTTGTCTTTACTATGAACATAGTAATTTAACATTTAATTTATCAAAAAGTTAATTGGGGCAGCCTACCAACATAATATTGGCCCCACCCAGAACAACCCTTTTAATTATTTGTATAAAACATTTCTCTTGCTTATAATTTGAATAGAACTCATAATAACTCTGAGTAGAATTAAAACCACAGAACGCAATGTTGGTACTTTCAAGTTTTCAAGTTATGTGATGTGAGGAGCCAGCCACATGCCTTTGAAACCATCACTTTGAAAAAAAAAAATTACCTCTGGTTCAATTGAACATTAACATATCAATGTCTGAGGGGCTGTGGCACATCAAAGACACACTTATAAGAGCACAAGCAGACAGCTATGAATTAACATGACATAATTGTTCTTTTCTAATGTATAAAACTTTCACACTGAATGATATTGTCAAACACATGACCATAACTGACAACTGGCCTCTGGATTTACTATAACATTACCAGATATAACATTGCCAGCAAACTCAGCAAAGTCAACAGCCTTTGAGCCACACAGTATGTTTACATTGCTCAGATATGAATTTGCTGATATGTTAAAGTTTGTTTTTAACTTTAACAGTATTTTTTTCTGTGTCAGGCACATTACTTACTGCAATAGCTTCACATCAAAATTTGTTTTAACAATTTGAACTGCATGGCAAACTCATGGCAAACTACAAAAAAAAAAAAGATTCACTTGAGGTTACCTCATGGCTTCTTATGCACAGTTAAATAGCTATGAACTGTACAACTTCTAGAAGAGACTGGTATAAAAAAGTGCAATTTGACTCATCATTTTGGGACTTCATTTCTGACACAAAACATTTCTTCAAATCTTCTTCTGCCTGAGGTTTAAAATATTGAAGAGTGCAGTTCTGTTACATTCAGAATGTCAATATGCCTGGTGTGTACACCAATTACATGTCATTTCTCACTACACAATATCCATAGTGTAATAGTTACTCATCAGTACATTCTCCATCTCCACACATAACTCTGGGTAGGAGTTATATGTACAGGGTAACTCCAATACTGATCCACAGGTGTGTGCAACTGGTCGACGTTGCAGTCCCTCCAAAGCTGTAAATATGACTTCTATTTTTGTGACACAGATGATATCAGAGCCTGTCACAAATCTCAGCAACCTTCTGAGACCCACTTCATCCAGTCCTCGTACTTACTGCTGTTAAAATCCAAGGGCTTGTCTCTCAGCTGGAGTCTCTGGACTTGTTTCAATTAGCTTCAGGACTTTCCTGCAAGTTGTTTTTTTGTCTGTATACATGATCTGTATTTTTGCTGTTGTGGTTATGGTGGTCTTCAGGAGTTGTGCTGCAACTGCTGACATGTTATCAAGAGCACATTTATGGATGTGACGGAAAAAAGTCAGTATTATTAAATTACTTTGTGATACGAAGTCATTATTTTGAGATACAAAGTTAAAATATTGAGAAAGTTTCTCATTACGATGACTTACAGAATCTTTTTTTTCTCAGAAATGGGCACCATACATATCTGTTACTTAAGGTAGAAATACCATAACTACTACTTAACAACAGTACTTGAGTAAATATACTCATGAAATAGAAAAAAAACACAGTTCAACAAGAACAACTTAAAACTGAAGAGAGATACAGATAAAGCTTACAGCAACCTGCCACCAGTGACTCACCTTTTACGTTCAGTCTGGTCTCACTTCTCCACAATCGTGCCATAAAATGATGCCCCACATTGGTCAAGAAAGTTTTTTGACTGATATCAACCACTGTAATAAT